TTTCTACAAACCACTGTTACGTCAGAAAATGTCCACTCGCAGTGTGTGAATTGCGGGATTTCTCATTTTGCCAACATATGAGGTCCATTGTTACTTACCCTATGGGCTTTCCTCAACAATGCAAATGACGGTTTCACAGGTAACCATAGGAGATTTGATTTTAATCAATGAATAATACCTTGTAGACGGCAGCCAGTTTATCTGGCGGGAAATAGTAATGCGGCTTCCCAGCAGCCTCGGGTCCTGCTGGCAGACCAAGGACAACAAGAGGGCCATTGGGAATACCCCGTGCCCACTTTAACCAAGTGTCCATCACAGGGAGAAAATATTGATCTCCAGGATAGCAGTAGTTGTTGTAGAACTGAATAAACAAGTAGTCAAATTCGTTGCCATATTCTGTCAAACATGAACACAAAAACAGCAACGTCATTACAGCCTGGTACCTTATTTCTTCTTTCATTCCTCGTTCCTACCATTCTAGTAAAGCCAATTTAACGTTTCACGTTTTAACTGCCAATGATTTGAACATTATATTATCTTTTCGGAGCAAATCGTCGGAGAGATAGCCTCTTGATCCTTTCAAAACATTTCCATAGTTTAGCTTCCGTGTTTATTGTTTTCATTCCTTTGTGGGTTGTAAGTGGGCAATTTGTCAGTATTCAGTTAACACCAAAAATATTTGGTCGGTTGGTTGGTTGGTTGTTGGGGTGACGAACGAACAGACGGGAAGACGGATGGATGAATGGCTGAATGAATGCATGAATGGATTGAACGATTGACTGTATACAAACCAGTCTGGTGACAGCCGGTTTTTTCTCTAAGGGTCACTTAGCCATCGCGTAAATTAAAGGGCGGTATGGCTGTGGCTGAGTAGGGAAGAAGGCGAGACAAGAGTAGTATGTCCATATCTCGTCCCATTCCCTCAAGACTAACGAAAGCGTCTGGCCCCATAACCCCTCCTGAATTTCGAAGAAAAACAGACTGCCAGCAGTTTACATACACACCCTCTAGTGCAGAGCCTTGTATCTGAGGTCCCATCCATTTATCAGGAAAGGGACACTGGGGAGCAGCTGTGATCAGGTACTGTTTACTTTTGTCTGTATTCATAAGCCGCCTCATCTCACGAACAAAGTCTGGGTAGTATTTATGACTTCCTATCTCGATATCCAGATCGACACCGTCCATTACTGTCCTGTAGAGAGGAAAATATCATATTTACTACAGATACCGGTACAGGCCTGACGCGAGTGTTTGGCTCTCTTAAGCGTGTAAAGTTTGATATCCCGACCCCTCTTGCTTCGTCTTGTTAATTTGCTTGGATAAAATGTTTGTTGGTTGTTGCAAAATAAGCCAAATGTTTATTACTATAATACCAGTACAAAAGTCACCAACCTACAACCGTACAAAAGTACCGTTTTAATGTATGGAAAAGCATCATCGTGTCATGAACGATAGAAAAACATTAAAAAAGCTCACTATGCATCTTTTTTAGTATGTAATATTGCTCTACATTTTTTCCGTCATTTATTTTTGTCTCTTAGGTTTCGCCGGACTACAGCATGACATGTAGCTAAATTAAGAACTGAACGGGATTTATACAAGTAACCGAGACTGCTAAAGCTTCAGAAATTTGGATTTTAACTGTCAGTCGCTGAAATAACATTTTTCATTCTTTTTTTTGTTTTTCAATCGATCAAGCTGAGCTCTGAGATTTGAAAACTGAAAATGATTGATAGCGGAAAAACCAATTCTCTACCTTCATCAGTCCCTCAAATCCAAGTTGATCTTCGCTTTCAAATGTGTAACGAACCATAGTTAAAGATGATTTCCAGTCCGTACTGTGCAGTCTCTAAAGTTTGTTAGACTTGCCACAAGTCGACCTCATGAATTTCAGGGTAGACTTTTCAGCAAGTCCAAGAGTTTGTTTGCGTTTTTTGTTTTGTTGCATGTAAGACATACCAAAATGTAAACATTTCGCAACAACTTACAAGAAGTAAATTCAAGGTTTCAAAACAACCGCCATCATGGATGTGAAGCGGTCGAGACTTTATGCTTCGTTCTTTCTCATATCACTTGATGAGACAACTTCGCAGTTGTAAAAATCAATGAAGCTGTTGAAAAAAGAATTTGAAAGGTCTCAAAGATAAGGTATGTGGTTCGCAACGAACAACATCGATTCGCATTCCGTCGAGAAACATTAGGGTGCCGAGACTGCGCAGTACGGACTAGAAATCATCTTCAAGAACGATATTCTATATGTATAAGCTTTCTGTAACCAGTTGAATATCTACAATGACCTAAATTGTTCC